CGATATATTTTTTCATTTCTATTGCTCAGAGTTGAGAATTTAAAGTGAGCCATGATTTATCATAGTAAAGGAACAGCCTCTACCCCTTTAGTAGATCAGCCCCGGTCAATGTATTGTACAATAGAGTTCTTTGACCCAGCGGCGAACTGACAACTCATGGGGCCCCCGGGCAATAGTGGATCATGGGGCCCCTGTGTCCTTGTCCAAACTCAAAAAAGACTATGAAAAAGGTACCATGGGCATCTCATGGGGCCCCCTACTGACCTCGGGCCCTCGGGCAGTGCCCGAGTATCCAAATGGTCAGTCCGCCCCTGCTTTGACCATTACAGATTTCTCATCTAGTTATACATATCATCTACACAAAGCAATGCTGATTTAATGTGACAATCCCCCAGTGTCCCGGGGACTCACCGGCTTTAGATGACCTCACATACGATACACAGATTAAACTGAGCTCCAAACGAACCCCCCCAGAACCTCGACTCTGCTGCACAGGAAGTGTTTGTATTCCTTCCAGTTTCCTCTGGCAGTATTTCAAGTAATACGAATCTGAAAGTTAAAATGATTAGCCAGAAAAGAGAAGACGCTTCCTCCTTCCCTTCCGGGACCTCCTATCAGCACTTCTCTGATGACATACACGGTTGGCTTAACCAGTGCCGCTCCAGAGCTGGATTTCCCTTTCAGCTATACGCCTGAAGACTCAACAATCATTTTGTTAAAAAGACAAGGAACTGTTGATCTGGGGAACATCCGATTGCCTCTTGGGGAATCTGCAAGAAATATTTTTGCTGGAGAAAATTGGATCATGCGTTATAGTTTTTTTTTCCTTCCTCTGGATTATTTTTATTATTACAGATACTTGTACTCACTGGCCACTTTATTAGGTACACCTTGCTAGTACCGGGTTGGACCCCCTTTTCCTTTGTGGCATAGATTCAACAAGGTGTTGGAAGCATTCCTCAGAGAGTTTGGTCCATATTGACATGAGATATTGTTGCCTTTCTATCATCTCGAATTGTAGCCTCCCTGGCGGTATTCCTGAGTGTAGCTCAGGGTAAAGTTTCAGTACCACAAGCGGTAAACCGGAGCTACACTCGGGCTTACCATGCGGCTCTGCTCCGCGATCTCTCGATCACTTACCTTGTCCTGCGCTCCCGCGATGTCCGTCCTGCAGTGTCCCCGGCAATGTAATCCGGCCGATGCCAGCATCCGTCTTCTGAGTTCCGTCCCCTGCGAGCTTCGGGACGTACGGGGGACGGAACGGCGGGAAATTTGAAAATGACAAAAAGTGACATTCACTAAAATCACTAAAATCACATACAGGGGCTGATTGGCAAATCAGTGATCACATGCAAAGTAGTAAGCAAGATGTCACTTTTGACATCATTGCTTACTGCTAGTGAAATCTGTGAATGATCACAGAGGCAGGGGCGGACTGACCATTTGGAAACTCGGGCACTGCCCGAGGGCCCGGGGTCAGTAGGGGGCCCCATGAGATGCCCCTGGTACTTTTTTCATTTTTGAGTTTGGGCAAGGACACAGGGGCCCCATGATCCCCTATTTGCCCGGGGGCCCCATGAGTTGTCAGTCCGCCCCTGCACCTAGGTCACATGGTACAGGGCTATTCACAACAGCCTTGTACCATGTGACACGCTGTGACCAATCACAGCTCACACAGTATTTCTCAATGGCTGCAAAAATGCAGCTAGAGAGAAGGAGAAATGATTGCTTTTATAGCCTTTATTATTATTATTATTATTATTATTTATATACATTATTTATAAAGTGCCAATAGTTCGCTCAGCGCTGTACATTACAATGGGTGTAAAAGCAATCAGTGTGAAAAAAAAAAAAAAAAATCTTCATCATCCCCCATAAGTAGTACAGTGTCACCATGGTGACACTGTACTGCTAGGGTGACAGTATGGAAAAAAAAACATAAATAATAAAAAAAAAAAAATAAAATAAAAATGTAAAAAATGTTTTAAAAAATTATAATTTGTGGTTATAAACTAATTTGGATTATTTTTTTTTTTTTTTTACTAAAAAGATACATGAATACATTTTGGGCAAGATTTATGAAGAAATATTATTTATTTGCTAAATTTTAGACTAAACACTTTTTTTCAAAATTTTTGGACTTTTTCATTTATATAGCAAAAAAAAAAAAATAAAAATCCCAGTGGTGAATAAATACCACCAAAATAAAGTTTTTTCTGTCTCAAAAAATGCTAAAAAATTCATAGGGGTACAGTGTTGCATGACTGCGCAAATGTCATTCAAAGCGTGTTAGCGCTGAAAGCTGAAAATTGGCCTGGACAGGAAGGGGGTGAAAGTGTCCGGACTGGAAGGGGGTGAAAGTGACCGGACTGGAAGGGGGTGAAAGTGTCCGGACTGGAAGGGGGTGAAAGTGTCCGGACAGGAAGGGATTGAAAGTGTCCGGACTGGAAGGGGGTGAAAGTGTCCGGACTGGAAGGGGGTAAAAGTGTCCGGACTGGAAGGGGGGGAAAGTGTCCGGACTGGAAGGGGGGGAAAGTGTCCGGACTGGAAGGGGGTAAAAGTGTCCGGACTGGAAGGGGGTGAAAGTGTCCGGACTGGAAGGGGGTAAAAGTGTCCGGACTGGAAGGGGGTGAAAGTGATCGGACTTGAAGGGGGTGAAAGTGTCCGGACTGGAAGGGGGTAAAAGTGTCTGGACTGGAAGGGGGTGAAAGTGATCGGACTGGAAGGGGGTGAAAGTGATCGGACTGGAAGGGGGTGAAAGTGTCCGGACTGGAAGGGGGTAAAAGTGTCCGGACTGGAAGGGGGTGAAAGTGTCCGGACTGGAAGGGGGTGAAAGTGATCGGACTGGAAGGGGGTGAAAGTGTCCGGACTGGAAGTGGGTGAAAGTGTCCGGACTGGAAGGGGGTAAAAGTGTCCGGACTGGAAGGGGGTGAAAGTGTCTGGACTGGAAGGGGGTGAAAGTGTCCGGACAGGAAGGGGGTGAAAGTGTCCGGACTGGAAGGGGGTGAAAGTGTCCGGACAGGAAGGGGTTGAAAGTGTCCGGACAGGAAGTGGGTGAAAGTGTCCGGACAGGAAGGGGGTGAAAGTGTCTGGACTGGAAGGGGGTGAAAGTGCTTGGGACTTGACATGGTTAATAGAAAAAGAACATTAATTTTCAAATGTTAGCAAACCATCCCTCAATATGTGTAGGAACAACTCAACTCTATCACACTTGGCTTATTGCATGATCAGGGAAAATCCTGTGTCTGATTGGACCTGTTGGGTTGGCGTCCTCGTTGAAAGCTCTCTCAAAGGCAGATTTGATGGCGGTCCAGAATTTTTGCTTGAAGTCTTGGCCAATGAAGACGTAGAGAAGAGGGTTAACACAGCTGTTTGAGTAAGCCAACAAGGTTGATATACGTTCACCTATACCATATACAATCCAGGAAGTAGGCCATGTGTAGCTTCCGAAGGAATCCATTAATGAAAATACATGGTAAGGAAACCAGCAAATAAAGAAGGAAATGATGACAGCGACAATAACTTTGAAAGGTTTGGTGAATGTTACTCTGCGATTTCTTTGAAGACGCAAAAAGATGACAGTGTAACAGAAGATAATGATGGTAAAAGCTATGACAAACAGAACAGTAAATCTTATTATGATTTGTACCTTGTGGATTCTCCAATCTTCAAAGCAAGTCACAGATTTATCATCGTCATCATATAGGTGTGTATTTGTAAAGTAAGATACGTTGAGTAGAAGGCATACAATCCAAAGTGCGAGAACGACTTTCACAGCCAGTCTCAGGGTGCGATGGTTCTGACACCAAACAGGGAAGACTACGGAGATGCAATGATCAATGCTGATGATGGTGAGTTGTAGGACACTGGCAGACAGATTGAGATATAATGCAAAAAGGCTAAGTTTGCACATGAAGGATCCAAATGGCCATTGAAAGTGAAGTGCAATTTTAGTGACAGTTAAGGGTAGGAAAAGGCAGAAGGTAATATCGGCAAATGCTAAACTTAAGAACCAAACGGAGTTGACCGTCTTCTTCATCCTGAAGGCAACAAACCAGATGACCAGACCATTTCCAATTATTCCCAGCAAACATATCCCAGATAGAACCACCATGTATGCAAAATGGAGTGTTTGAAATATAATGATAATGGGATTTTCATTTGTAGTTTCCTCGGTGGTGTTGGCTTCCATACTTCCAGACATGTCAAGGGTCAGATATCACGTATGATGCTCTGAAAAATCAAAACATGTAAATATGAATTAAGCAATATGTAGGAAAGGAACGCTGTGACTTCTGAAGAAACATCCTGACCAAAGCAAACTGGGATGTAAATTTATTTTTATATTTTTTTTATAATAATGTCACCATAACACCATAAAAATCCCCAACACACAAGTGCCAACAACTATATTAACCGATTCCAGCTAGGCGTACGCAAATATACAGACCCCGCTGGACTGGGCTTTTTCGTGGGGCCGCCTATTTGTGTATCTGTCTTTGTGCTGGAGGGCACCTCATGGTGCTCTCCCAGCACAGAAACCGGAGTCTCACTGAGAGCCCCAGGTCCCGTACTAACGATCAGGACCTGGAACTCCAAATGCAGGGTCACCTGATCTCTGTGATAGCCTCTGATTGGCTATCACAGTGATCAGTCACTGAGAAGCCTGCCCCTGTGTTTTCTCTCTCTGAATGGAGGAGAGGAATACATTATATATCTCTCTCTCTCCTCTCAGAAAAGCAACAGTGTGTAAGAAAAAAAAATTACTAAAATATAACTAGATCAATGTTTGATCTAGGTTAGTGCCAGGGTTAGTGTTTAGGTCAAGGTCAGGGTCAAAGATGAGATCCAATATTCTTGAACAGGATTTAAAAAAACAAAACTTTTTTTATAATTAGTATCAGTGTCAGTTAGTGTCAGTGTGTTTTAGGTAGGATCAAAATAATCAAAATGCGCACTATTGTTTTTGGGCTTTACTATGGGTACAAAAAAACAATTAACATACACTATATTGCCAAAAGTATTGGGCCAGCCCTCCAAATCATGTGATTCAGGTGTTCCAATCCCCTCCATATCATGTGATTCAGGTGTTCCAATCCCCTCCATGGACACAGGTGTATACAATCAAGCCCCTAGGCATGCAGACTGCTTCTACAAACATTGGTGAAAGAATGGGTCGCTCTCAGGAGCTCAGTGACTCCAAGCATGGTCCTGTGATAGGTGGCCACCTGTGCAATAAGTCCATCCGTGACATTTCCTGGCTACTAAATATTCCACGTTCAACTGTTAGTGGGATTATAACAAAGTGGAAGCAACTGGGAACGACAGCAACTCAGCCACCAAGTGGTAGGCCACGTCACATGACAGGGCGGGGTCAGCGCATGCTGAAGCGCACAGTGCGCAGAAGTCGCCAACTGTCTGTAGAGTCAATAGCTAAAGACCTCCAAACTTGGTGTGGCCTTCAGATTAGCACAACAACAGTGTGTAGAGAGCTTCATGGAATGGGTTTCCATGGCCGAGCAGCTGCATCCAAGCCTTACATCACCAAGTGCAATGCAAAGTGTCGGATGCCGTGGCATAAAGCATGCCGCCACTGGACTCTAGAGCAGTACAGACGTGTTCTCTGGAGTGACCAGTCCTGCTTCTCTATCTGGCAGTCCAATGGACGTGTCTGGGTTTGGCCGTTGCCAGGAGAACGGTACTTGCCTGACTGCATTGTGCCAAGTGCCTAAAGTTTGGTGGACTCAGGATTATGATATGGGATTATTTTTCAGGGGTTGGGCTTGGCCCCCTAGTTCTAGTGAAGGGAGTTCTTAAGGCTACAGCATAGCAAGACATTTTAGACAATTTCATGCTCCCAACTTTGTGGGAAGAGTTTGGGGATGGCCCCTTCCTGTTCCAACATGACTGCGCACCAGTGCACAAAGCAAGGTCCATAAAGACATGGATGAGCAAAGGAGAATAAAACTTGACTGGCACCCCAATGCTTTTGGCAAAATAGTGTATTTGGTATCACTGTGATCGTCAGGAGCAGGAGAACTTATTTTGGGTTGTTCTTTGGGGGTAGGTTATGGTAGTAACAAGAAATATAAAGCTAAATTTTAAAAAAAAAATTGTTTTTACTATTTTGGGCCAGTTTTCCTTTGATAATAAAAATATTAGGAGATTAAAATAAAGGATGCACAAAGTAGTTGTGATATGTACGGTTTTACTAACACGTGTCAAAGTTGCAAAATTGTGCTTAGGCATTAACATTTGTTTAACCTTAGGCACGAAGGGGTTAATAGAAAATATATTATACCCCACAGAAAACTAATGCGTGGTCAAATATGTTTGTAAATACACACGATATGCAAATATTAGGCAATAATGGTAATATAAGATGGTAAGTGATTGCAGAGCTGATCCACATAAAATAATTATCAATGTCCATAATATATACCACTCTTATAGAAAGCATTTACTATCCATACATCTTAAACTCTTAAATAAGACGATACATACACCAACTGATAGTTGAAATGTTCAACTCATTATTGCAAATTTATATTATGAACCAATGGGAGAATAGACATAATATTGGTAATAAAGGCACAAAATATCAGATTTTAGGTGTGCAGAACTCAACCACATCATTATCCTATGTAAAGTTTATATCATTCTGATCCATCCAATGGACTACAATGTAAAGAGCATGTTTGTCTCCATAGGAATCTTTCTACAGCTGTAGACCTATAACCTAGATAACCTGTAGACCTGTAGTACCTTATGGCTGCATAGAATGTTAGTATAGATGGCACACTCTGTCTACAGACTCCCACAGAAGAAGAAACTTTTAATATATTTCCCAATGGATGTAATAAAAGGTCCAAGACACATGCTATCCCCCCCCACACCAAATTAATTATGGGACAACTGGTGAAGTCATGCTTCACTGATCACTACATACTCGGTATCAGTTACCCATCTAATGGAATGCTATAGTTACATAGTTAGTCTGGCTGAAAAAAGAAAAAAGTCCATCCAGTTGAACCATAAAAAAAAAAGTTATAATCCTACACCCACAGTTGATCCAGAGGAAGGCAAAAAAAACCCAGCAAAGCATAATCCAATTTGTCCCTGCTGGGAAAAAAATCCTTCCTGAACCCCCTGAGAGGCAATTGAATATTCCCTGCATCAACTTTACTTATAAATGTTAGTATCCAGTTATATTCTGTGTATCCAAGAAATAATCCAGGACTTTTTTGAAGCAATCCACTGAGCTGGAGAGAACCGACTCTTGAGGGAGTCTATTCCACATTTTCACAGCTCTCACTGTGAAGAAACCTTTCCGTGTTTGGAGATTAAAATTATGTTCCTCCAGACATAAAGAGCGCCCCCTTGTCCTCTGTGATGACCTCAGGGTGAATAGCTCTACACTGAGTTCACTATATGAACCACTGATGTATTTATACATGGAGATCATATCCCCCCTTATGTATTATACATGGAGATCATATCCCCCCTTATGTATTATACATGGAGATCATATCCCCCCCTTATGTATTATACATGGAGATCATATCCCCCTTATGTATTATACATGGAGATCATATCCCCCCTTATGTATTATACATGGAGATCATACCCCCCCTTATGTATTATACATGGAGATCATATCCCCCCTTATGTATTATACATGGAGATCATATCCCCCTTATGTATTATACATGGTGATCATATCCCCCCTTATGTATTATACATGGAGATCATATCCCCCCTTATGTATTATACATGGAGATCATATCCCCCCTTATGTATTATACATGGAGATCATATCCCCCCTTATGTATTATACATGGTGATCATATCCCCCCTTATGTATTATACATGGAGATCATATCCCCCTTATGTATTATACATGGTGATCATATCCCCCCTTATGTATTATACATGGAGATCATATCCCCCTTATGTAATATACATGGAGATTATATCCCCCCTTATGTATTATACATGGTGATCATATCCCCCCTTATGTATTATACATGGTGATCATATCCCCCCTTATGTATTATACATGGAGATCATATCCCCCCCTTATGTATTATACATGGAGATCATGTCCCCCCCTTATGTATTATACATGGAGATCAAATCCCCCTTATGTATTATACATGGAGATCATATCCCCCCTTATGTATTATACATGGAGATCATATCCCCCTTATGTATTATACATGGAGATCATATCCCCCCTTATGTATTATACATGGAGATCATATCCCCCTTATGTATTATACATGGAGATCATATCCCCCTTATGTATTATACATGGTGATCATATCCCCCTTATGTATTATACATGGAGATCATATCTCCCCTTATGTATTATACATGGTGATCATATCCCCCCTTATGTATTATACATGGAGATCATATCCCCCCTTATGTATTATACGTGGAGATCATAGCCCCCCCCCCTATGTATTATACATGGAGATCATATCCCCCTTATGTATTATACGTGGAGATCATATCCCCCCTTATGTATTATACATGGAGATCATATCCCCCCCTTATGTATTATACATGGTGATCATATCCCCCCTTATGTATTATACATGGAGATCATATCCCCCTTATGTATTATACATGGAGATCATATCCCCCCCTTATGTATTATACATGGAGATCATATCCCCCTTATGTAATACATGGAGATCATATCTCCCCCTTATGTATTATACATGGAGATCATATCCCCCTTATGTATTATACATGGTGATCATATCCCCCCTTATGTATTATACATGGAGATCATATCCCCCTTATGTAATATACATGGTGATCATATCCCCCCTTATGTATTATACATGGAGATCATATCCCCCCTTATGTATTATACATGGAGATCATATCCCCCTTATGTATTATACATGGTGATCATATCCCCCCTTATGTATTATACATGGAGATCATATCCCCCCCTTATGTATTATACATGGAGATCATATCCCCTATACATGGAGATCATATCCCCCTTATGTATTATACATGGTGATCATATCCCCCCTTATGTATTGTACATGGAGATCATATCCCCCTTATGTATTATACATGGAGATTATATCCCCCTTATGTATTATACATGGAGATCATATCCCCCCTTATGTATTATACATGGAGATCATATCCCCCCTTATGTATTATACATGGAGATCATATCCCCCCCGAATGTATTATACATGGAGATCATATCCCCCCTTATATATTATACATGGAGATCATATCCCCCCTTATGTATTATACATGGAGATCATATCCCCCCTTATGTATTATACATGGAGATCATATCCCCCCTTATGTATTATACATGGAGATCATATCCCCCCTTATGTATTATACGTGGAGATCATATCCCCCCTTATGTATTATACATGGAGATCATATCCCCCCCTTATGTATTATACATGGTGATCATATCCCCCCTTATGTATTATACATGGAGATCATATCCCCCTTATGTATTATACATGGAGATCATATCCCCCCCTTATGTATTATACATGGAGATCATATCCCCCTTATGTAATATACATGGAGATCATATCTCCCCCTTATGTATTATACATGGAGATCATATCCCCCTTATGTATTATACATGGTGATCATATCCCCCCTTATGTATTATACATGGAGATCATATCCCCCCTTATGTATTATACATGGTGATCATATCCCCCCTTATGTATTATACATGGAGATCATATCCCCCCTTATGTATTATACATGGAGATCATATCCCCCTTATGTATTATACATGGTGATCATATCCCCCCTTATGTATTATACATGGAGATCATATCCCCCCCTTATGTATTATACATGGAGATCATATCCCCTATACATGGAGATCATATCCCCCTTATGTATTATACATGGAGATCATATCCCCCCCGAATGTATTATACATGGAGATCATATCCCCCCTTATATATTAAACATGGAGATCATATCCCCCCCGAATGTATTATACATGGAGATCATATCCCCCCTTATATATTATACATGGTGATCATATCCCCCCTTATATATTATACATGGTGATCATATCCCCCCTTATGTATTATACATGGAGATCATATCCCCCCTTATGTATTATACATGGAGATCATATCCCCCCCTTATGTATTATACATGGAGATCATATCCCCCCTTATGTATTATACATGGAGATCATATCCCCCCTTATGTATTATACATGGAGATCATATCCCCCTTATGTATTATACATGGTGATCATATCCCCCCTTATGTATTATACATGGAGATCATATCCCCCCTTATGTATTATACATGGAGATCATATCCCCCCTTAATCTCCTCTTCTCAAGAAAACTTTCCTGTTGCTCAACAGATTTCCACAATATATTTTTCAAAAATCATTACGATCCCTTCTGTATTCTTCTTATGATATTATTGTCCTTACCTGAAGTTGGGTTGTTTCTGGTAGACGTTTTCTATGTGTTTAGCTCCAGCTCAGCAATGTGTCTGCACTTTATATATTGTGACTCTTTTTGGGTCTAAGGCTTGACATTATGACGTTATCTGATAATAACAA